ACACACACATGGGTAATTAGGAAGAGAGTGAGGGCTCTGACTCTTACAGCTTTAGAGACCAGCACAGCACTGAAAGAGAACCAGGAACCCGCAAATTAACCAGGCGTATGGCTTTCGTAAGGATGCTCAAAAGTACGGACAGTCCAGAGTCTGCGAGTCTTCCACACATTTCTATGGTTAGACCCCTCCGCAGGCAGTTTGTCTTTAGCCTCTCTCTGCTGTGCATCTGCTGGTCTGTGGGAGTCCTGGTCGTTCTTCCAGAAGCCGGAAGGGGAAAGTGTAGTGGCTGCCCTTTGGCAGTGAAGAGGATGAGGCATCTTAACAGTCAGACCGGACCTTCTGATGCTTGGCCGTTCACCCTTCCAGTGAGTCCCGACCCTGCTCCCTAAAGACAAGCAGAGTCCTCCCCGTCTCTGCATCTAAAGCTAAGGCCCCTCCCACAAACTGAGGAAATGGTCTTGTCAAAGCTGCAGCTGTCAACATACACTTTTAAACACCAGGCAGGGATCCCCTAACAATCTCAGGGTGCCGGATGATCCGGAAAAGACGTTCTCTGGGCAAGTTACTGTCGGCGTCCTCAAACTTTCACAAAAGCTCCAATCTCTCGGAAACTTTAACAACTTTCCGCTCCACTACAGGTCTTTTCACTTTTGAAAAACGATTTCCTTATTTAGGCAAAGAAGTGCAGTATTTGGTTAGCAATTTTTTTTAAATGTTTCACTGGGTTGTTCTTTGTATTAAATAGTTTTGCACGTGACTTTTTCAAGGTGAAAAGAACACGAAGCTTGAAGTAGAGTAAAATATAATCAGCCTATATGTAAACCTCGCATGCTGGGAAACTGAGAGAGATGGATCAAAAGTTCAAGCTCAGCCTGGGAAATTTAGTGACTTAGGGAGACTGTCTCAAAGTAAATAAAGGCAGGACTGTAGGTCAGTGAGAATTATCGGCATGAAAAAACAATCTATAAAATCTCTTGTATTTTTCTATCTTATTTTTTACCTTGCTTCACTTATTTACAATTAAATAAACACGTCTGTATTAAATCTGGTATTGTACTTGATTTTTTTTTATACTTACATTATTGGGATCAAATAAGAGTACATTAATTCAGCATTAACTTTTACAATATGATGCTCTCACCTTTAATGAGGTGAATTGTTATTTTTCCATTGATTTTATTCATTTTATCATTATTATTATTATTATTATTATTTTAGTTCTTTGAGACAGCATCTCACTATGTAGCCCGGGCTGGCCTCGAACTTGTGGTGATCCTCCTGCCTCGGCCTCCTGAGTACTGGGATCACAGGTATGTGCCACCATCTTGTGATGCATGAAATATGTATATACAGATTATAAAATATATTTGAAAAAATATATTATAAATATATTGACATATATTACATATAAATTATTATATATGATATATATATAATAAATATATTATAAATGAAAAAATACACAGAGGGAAGTTACTTGTCTATTTCCTGTTCAGTCCTATTGATGAGTCTGTTTCTTCCAGGCTCATTCTCCCCTTATTGTTTGGAATTATTTTACTAATTTCATAAATTTTTCTTGTTTTGGAAGACGTCTAATTTTGACATAACCATATGAGAAGAGCTTTCTTCTTGGTATTTTTAACAAGAGTGGTGTGAACTTTGACAGAACTTTTTGGTGAATATTAACATCTATACAATATTCCTTTTAATGCTTTTTTTCATTCTTAGTAGAATTTTATAGTTTTCTCAGGGTTCCAGTAAATGTTCATAAGTCTGCCCTGCAATGCATATAAGTTACTCACAATGCTGTGCTATTGATTTTATACTGAAAAGCTTTGAACAATTGTGCATTTATTTACTCTTTGATTAGCCACTATACATTTTTCTGGTCCTGGGGATCGAACCTATAACCCTCCCCCAAGCTACCTCCATATGCTTCTTTTTTTGAGGCGAGGTCTCCTCAAGTCACTAATTACCCAGGCTGCCCTTGAACTTGCAATCTTCTCTAGCAGTACAGAAACACTCCACACACCCACCGAGCTACTGTAGTTTTTATTGGTCAGGAAACCACTTCCTGTTTTTTCTTGGGTGAACTGTCTCACCCTTTGAAGACATTCTTACCCTTTACAGAATGCCTCTTCCTCTCTCTTTTTTTCTGTTGTTTTTTGCATGTTTGTTTTATGGGCTAGAAACTCCAGAACAATAGTAAACAGTTCTGGAGCTAAAGCAGAATATTGTCTTCTTATTGGGAATGCTTCTGACATGCATCTCCTTTAAGAATCACAACCCACAGCACCCAAAGTGGATCGAGGGGCCTGAGGCCTCTGAGGGGGTGGCTGGGGTGCTCCAGGATGACCTTCCCTACCTATCCTTCACCCACCCTGGTGGGGACGGACTCTCTGCCTTCTCTTTAGCAAGTTTCATGTTTAATTTTCTCTTAATTGTCAAATACGAGGTGTATATGTTTATGGGATACAATGGAATATTTGACATAAATTTATATCTTTAAATAATTCAACCAAGAAAATGAGCAGATCTGTCACCTCTTGTAAATCTTCCCATGGGTGAATGTGGACACAAATTTTGTTTTAGCTGCATTCAAAATGACTGTAAGGAAATAGTCTCTCTCTTACCTAATGTATTCTATCAGAACAGGGGGCTAAATTTCATCAAATTTTGTGTATACTTTATATATTTTTATCTGCTTACAGAAATGAGAGGATATTACAAAGGATCAAGTTTTCTAATAGTCTACTTGGATTGATTCTTTGCTCAATTTTTGAGTATGTATTGCAAGGTCATAGTAACTTGAAAACACATGTCCCTGTTTTCTCTATTGTTTTATTTAGGAATTTCATAGCAGAGTGAAAATGTATTTTTAATTTTTAGAACAACTCTGTAAATAAATTTTGGACACAATTTATATTGGAAATTTTATTTCCTTAGCACTCTGTTGAAACCAGATATGAGAATTTGGATAATTTCCTCTGTTTCTATCACTTTGGGTAATCACATTTTCATTTAAAAAACAGATCTTTCACTTTGATCCCAGTGATGGATTTAAAATTGCCCACCTGAATTTCTTCATGGTTTCTTCCTCTTACCTGATGTTTGTTTTCTCTAAAATGATTCCTCCATATCCAGTCTATCTGAATGCAACCTACTTTATTGATCCTCTCATAGAACCAGGTCAACTGATGTTTTGAACTTATCTCATATATGCTTTATTTTTTTGATTAATATCACATGCGGGTTGTGCTCTGCTTGCTTTTATCTGCACACATCCTAGAAGGGTACTTCTGAGATCACAGTTGGTACTCACCTCTAGGTTGTAGGACTAACAATCAAAGGACCAGAATCAAAGAGACTTGATTTTTCATTTTGTACACTTTTTCTGCTTGATTATTCTTTTATTGTGTGTTTGCACTACACATATAATTAACTGTTTACATAAAAACATTAGCTAATGTTTGCATAGTTGCACATCTTTTTTTTTTTTCCTGAGGCAGGGTCTCTATGTAGTTCAGGCTGGCTTTGAACTCAGGAACTCAGGGCGATCCTCCTGCCTCAGCTACCTAAGTGCTAGAATTATAGGCATGCACTACCATGCCTGGCACCTTTACATAATTGTAACAAAAATAATCATAGGAAAAATACTGAGCATTTAAATTTTTTTATTAGTACATGTTTGTAGTGCATAATGATTAACTTCACTGTGGGGAGTTGGTACATGTACATGGTGACAGGTTCCCCCAGTCAGACCCCCACCCAAACAGACCCGCTACCTGCTCCCCGCATCCACACAGGACAGAGATCACAAGAAGCCAGCAGCTGCCCTGCTGCTCCCACCTCCACCCTGATTATCAGCCTGCCCCAGGCCCATCACCATGGTACTCTCAAATTTTCCACCCTCTTGACCAGTGCCCCTCCCCTACCTGAACTCCCCCATATAACCACAAGCACCCTCCTCAGAGCCAGCGGCCTTCTCGCCCTTGACCCATCTGCTCCCAGACGGCAATAAAGTCACTGCCTGTTGCTTAGCCCTTGCCTGCCTCAGTGGTCTTCAATTGTCCCTCAGTCTGACCTTACACATAACACATTTTAATTCTTTTTAAAACCACAGCTAGTTACCAATTACTAATTACCCACAACTAGCTACCAACTACTAGCTACCCATTGCCAGTTATCCACAGCTAGTTAAACATTACTATTTACAGGTTAGGAGTTAACCTTGCCAATTACCTGTTGCTAGTTACCAACTACTAATCACAGCTAGTTACCTACAACTAGCTACACTCACCTAGTTACACATTACTAGTTACCTGTTAATAGTGAAAGCTTTTGCTGTCAATTGTGCCTCCACCTGGTTCTCATTTCCATCACCACTGAGGCAAGTTCCCTGCACAGCCCACACCGGTGAGGCCGCAGCCTTCCCATTCTAGGATTCCTGCTGGACTCACACGGCAGTCAGGGCTGATGGTCTTCGCTCCCAGCAAGGGATGAGAAAGACACTGGGAATCTGGTGAAATCCCTGAACTGGAAACCACTTCTGCTTCTCAGCTCAGGGCATCTTCCTGGTCCCAAGCCCCATGGAGCCAGCTGCCCATCGTTCCTGACATGTAAATGCAGCCATGGGAACAAAGCAGAGCCAGTTTTATTACTGCTATTTCACCACCATGTCTGTTTTCCTTCACTTGGTGGTATTTCCTGGTAAACTTGCCCCTCAAAGGCCTCGAAGGACACCTTTCAAGCTCTGGTTGGGAGACACTGGTTGTGGAGCAGAATTTGTATTTTCCTGTGGGCTGACACAAATGGGTCAGGGCATGGCTGGCTCTGAATTGGATCTCTAGCCTGAAGTGCTTTGCATTAGACCCATTGTTTATTCATGAGCTGTTGTTTTTTAAAAATTGTGAAGTACATCTATTCCCTTAGGCAAGGCTACATTATACAAATTAACAAAGCAGAACATCATAGGCCTCTTAAATTATTAGATAACTTCACAACAACCTTTCTAGGCCAGACAGGGCTGTCCTTGGAGTAACTTTGACTTCATCACACTCCTGAAGAACCCAGGTGAGCTCAGACTTCTCTGTCCATACTTCTGCTCACGTCCTCTAAATTTCTTAGAGCTTGCATTGTGCTGCCTGTGAAAAGGTTCTTTTGTTGAGCCCTTTCCCCACTTTACGCAGTTTCACTTTCAAATGCTCAGGTTAACTTTCAAATCCTATATCCCCATTGAATCCTCCTTGGCAGTTTTAGAAAATCTGGCAGTTAAGCAGCCCTGAATTATACAGTAACACAAATAATGATCCCCTCCCCCCCAATACCTCTTACCGTAGAAGGCTGAGCTGTGTCTTTGGACAATAACCATATGTTCCAGAGTGAAAGGTTGCAAAGGTTTCTGTGTGTGGGTTTGACAACTACTGAAACATGCACACCCTGCTGAACTCAGGAATTTTTCAAAACACAAATGATCAAAAAATGCTCCAGATTAATAGGAACTGTGAGAAGCCATCAAGGGAAGATTCATGATGAATTCTCATAAATACAGGAGTATTTAAGATGTGCATGATTTTAATTTTAAAAAAAGAAGTTAGATCCCTTTGAGTTGCCTTTGAATACATTGTTCATCTTTAACAATCCTCACCATAACTTCTTCCCTTAGAAGTTTTCTTTAATGGAATTTGTGTAATAGAATTAAAAGCCAGGCTCATCTTGTGCAGAGACATTGTTTATAAGAAGCCTCATGTGTTTAATTTGCCTTGACATTGATCTGTTATGTTTGGGGCTCTAAGAGAATTCTGAAATTGTCCATGGACTGAGAATCTGGCCCAAGCATCTCAGAATTGGAAAGCATCTTAAGGGTTGTTCATGAGAGCCTGGTGCATCTGCAGCCCCAGCCAGCCAGCCTCTGCCTAGAAACTGACAGGCAAGGAATTATGGGCACATCCCAGGTATCCCCAGGTAATGGAGAGGCATTCCTCAGAAAAAAGCTCTCTGTCAGAAAGTAGAAGGGGGCTTTCAGTGGCTGCTACTTAATTCAGCATTGTGTTTCTGAGTACTTCAAGCCAGCTACACTTTAGATTACACTTATCTGTATATATGTATTTTTTATTTAGCGTTGGCACATACTTTCTTTTACTTTCTTTTGTTTTTTTGGTACCGGGGATCGAACTCCGGTCCTTGCACTTGCGCAGCAGGCAGTGAAACCACTGAGCTAAATCCCCAGCCCCACTTTCTTTTACTTTTTAAAAACTAGATGTATGGGCTGTGAATAGAGCTCATAAGTACAGTGCTTGCCTACTGTGCTCTCTGGGTTTGATCCTCAGCACTGCAAAAAAAAAAGTGACTGTACTCACAAATCAAATTCAAACCAAGAGCTAGGCATGGTGACACATGTCTATAATCCCAGCCCTCTGGGGGGCTGAAGTAGGAGTATTGTAAGTTCAAGTCCAACCTGGGCAATTTAGTAACTTAGTAAGACCCTGTCTCAAAACTAAATACTTAAAAAAAGGGACAGGGATGTGACTCATTCCAAAGGCTCCAGGTTCATTCTCCAACACCACAAAATAATAATGACAATAACAATAATGATAATTCATAATAATAATAATAACAATGGCAACAACAATAAGGAGAATGATTCTTCACCATTTTTCCTATCACTTTTATAAGCAGCTTACATTTCATTTTAATTGCTTATTGTACCCTTATGGGAAATGCACATCCATTTTATGGTATATACTGTAACCTAGCACAGATTTCTTAAGAAAATTTGGAGGCTGGGGATTTAGCTCAGTAGTGCTGCATCTGCCTGGCAAGCTCAAGGTCCTGAGTTAGATTCCTGGTACTGAAAAAAAAATCTTAAGAAAATTTGTAGAAGAGTTAGTTCTAAATGTGGTGATTTGGAGTTATGTCCATGATGGTCTTAATATTTTTATTTTTAAATTTTCATAAATTATTTTACAACTGATGTATATAGATATTTAAATATAAACATTTGATATCATACTAAATTCATTTTGTTTTACAACTTTTTTTCAAGAAAATAAGAATGAAACTTTAAAAAATCAAGGATCCTTTAAAAGGAAAGCAGAAATCAATATTCCAGAAACATAAAATCCATGAGTTAATCTGGTTGAAAGTTAAATTTAGCCCTTTGGCAGCCAAGAAAATAAAGAATTCATGACAAGCTTTACATTTCCCATTATGTGATAAGGGAAAGCCAACATGGTTTTTTGAAAAGAAACATTTTCTGACAGTGAAATCTGTGTGGAATCCATTCAGTATGTTCATACACCTTCAACTATATAAGACACCTATTAGATACCACCTTTGACTGTGCTTTTACAAAAATGGAGAAATATTTTAGATTACTTCATATAACTACTCCTTTACCAGAACTACCACCAAAACTGAACACACCAAAAAAGCTTAGGATCTAATTAAGCAGTTGCTTTAGATAATAGCAAATCTGAGCTGGCTGTGGTGGCACATGCCTATAATCCCAGCAGGAAGGCTGAAGCAGGAGGATTGCTGTGAGTTCGAGGCCAGCCTGGACTACACAGTGAGTTCAAGGCCAGTCTGAACTAATAGTGAGATCCTGTCTCAAAATAAAACAAAACAAAAAAATAGCCAATCTGGTAATTTAGGAAGAGGATGTGGAACTGGGGAGGATTGCAGAAGGGAATCTTCTGGGCTTCCAGCTTCTGCTTAGGGTATTAAAAGATGGGAGGGCACCCTTTGAATAATTAATTCCATACCAACTACCTAACCCTGACTCTGCCTCATGAAGTCAAAGAATGAAATCATGGATCAAAAGAAGGCAATTAGGAATATTTTATTAGAAAAATAAGAAGAGAAATAGCTCCCAATTTGGGAGGGGTCCCAAGGGGTCACCAGGTTGCTTTGTTTGTCTCGGTTTTATATGGATAAGTAGAGTACAAGAGGCTTTGTAGAGTTGAAAGCTGGCCAAGCTCAAAGGAAACCAGTTATTTTGCATTTTTAAGTTCCACAGAAGTTCATTCTGGAGGTAGGGGGAATCATTGACTAACAGGTATTCTACCTAAGAAGTTTCTTTGCTGGGAGGAAGGATTCTTACCTGACCATCCTTATTCTAATTTTTTATCCTTTTCCTGTATTTGCTTTTACATTTCTAAGCTTAACTAGCTGTATGGCTTGAATTAGCTCTTAACTCAGTTCTATTCTCTTTGCAACCGGCTGACCCTATCTTACATGCTGCTTACTTATAAGCTAACTCACTAAACTGCCTCTTACCTGGCAACCATAGTAAGACACCAGTCTGTAAGATCATGACTTTTCCCAGCAGATTGGAGGGTACAGGACAGGCAACCAATCTCAGATCTGAGGAATAATCCAGACACGGGAGGCCACAAATGGTATCATTTCACTCACGTATACAAAATACCCAGAGCAGGCAGACACACTGAGACAGAAAATCGATTGCTTAGGGGGTTGAGGGGAGGTGAGGGACTATTTAATGGGTGTCTTAGTTACTTTTTCTCATTGCTGAGACAAAATACCTGACACCCAAAGTTAAAGGAGAAAAACTTTATTTAGATCACAGTTTGTAGAGTTTTCAGTTCATAGTCAGCTGGCTCCAAGGCAGGTGGCATGGCAGAGGGACATCACAGAGGAGAGACAGTTCATGACAGGAAGAAGACAGCAAAAACAAGCAAGCAACCAACTACAAGTAACTAGCAGCCAGCCTCTTTCTGTCCCTTATATTGTGTCCAGGCTATTCGCCCTTAGGGCAGGTAGCACTCACACCCTTAACCCTAGCACCCTTAATCCTACCATTACACTCTGAATCAATCACACACCCTAGATCCAGCCACCTCTGAAAAGCCCCACTTATGACTGCATGAGGCTTTTGGAGGCAGCTAGACACAGCCATAACAATGGGTGCAGGGTATCCTTAAGGATGACAGAAATGTCTGGAGCTGTGCAGAGGCCAGGAGTCTCACAACACTGTAAATGTACTAAATGCCATTGCACTGAACCCCTTAAAATGGTTAATTTTATGTTGTGTGAATTTTACCTCAACTAAAAAAATGCAAGAAGGGGAAGAAAAAAAAAAAAAAGAAACATAGAAGGAAAAGAGGCCATACGGAGAAACCAGACACAAGCTCTTCATACCTGGGGTGGAAAAGTTCAATGCCAAACAAGACAGGCAAAATGTCTGACAAAAGACTAAAGGCTAAGTGCTACAGAGAACTCCTGAGAGTAGGAGACACACGAGGAATTCACACCTGCAGCCACTTCTCCCAGACCTCATGGTGCTCACCAGGAAGAGACAGGCAGATCAAGACCTGTGAGGAACCCCCTGTGGTGCAGCTTGGGGGAGCAAACAGTCTCTGGAACAAAGGCCTGAGCCCCACCCAGGCTTTCCCCCCAGATCGATCACAGTCTTGATGGAATCAAGCTAAAAACCCATAGGAAGATAGCTCAGAAACCACCAGATGCTTCAATATCAGATAGCACACTTCTGAATAGCCCATGGATCAGAGAGGAAGTCACGAGAAAAATTAAAGAATATTTTGAAGTGAATAAAACCGAAGACAATGTCAATTTGAAAGGGTCCTCAAAGGAGAAATCCGTAGCACTGTGTGTTCATCTTTGAAAAAAAAAAAGGAATTTCTCAGTTAATGATCTAAGCTTATATCTAAAGGCCTTAGAAAAAGAAGAGCAAATTAAACCCAAAGCAAAGAGAAAAAAAGAAATACTAACAGCAAAAATAAATGAGCCTGTAATCCCAGCTACTAGGAAGGCTGAGTCAAGAGGATTACAAGTTTGAAGCCAGCCTGGACAACTAAATGAGACCCTATCTCAAAAGAAGAAAAAGAAAAGCCTGGAGAAATAGCTCAGTGTGTAGGACCAGGGTTCAATCTCCAGTACCAGAAGAAAAAACAAAGACTGAAATGGCAACATTTATGCAACCAATATGTTTGTCTCAGACTCACTGGGAAAAAAGAAAACTGAATATCACCATTAAGAATCTAGAAAGGCACTAAAAGATTAAAAGATAGCTGCTCAAACTACATATAGCTTTAGATCCACTGGGGAAAGAGGTCCTCTGCCCAGTCACTCAAATGTATCTCATTGGCCCAGATGAGCCTGGTCAAGGTCACGTGTCCATCTTTGAGCCAATCATTAATGCCAGGGGGTGGGAAGTGTGACTGACTTCCTCTAGGCTCCATGTTTGAGTTCTGAAACTGGGAATTTCCTCTGAAATTCTCTCCAAGAGGGAAATGGATGCAGGCTGCCAACAAAGGAAGCAGTTCATGCATATGGAAATATAAACTGACCATGCAACATAGAAAGCCTGGCCAGGAAGGCAGACCTTGTTGCTCCCCAGAGCCCACAACCCAGCTCCAGAGACATCTGCTAGGACTCACTGAGCCCAGCAAAGTTAAAAGACCCAGGAATGGAGGGACTCAACGCTGCAGGTGCATGGCAGCTGATGGGAGGTGAGCGGGAGGAGATTGTTTCCTCCTGCAAGGGTCCTCTTCTGTCCTCTCCAATCCTGTGTTGGTCCCAGCCACCTACATGATGGGTCTATAGAAACCAACTTAAAGTGGCAACCTCACAGCAAAAGTGAGACATCAAGTTGCCTTTTCAGATCTCTTCTTTAGCAGAGGAAAGGAGAATAAGGAGAGGATCATTTTCCTGGCTTCATTTATCAACCGTTGCCATGTGAACTGCTTTGTAATTAACATTTCCTTCCCTCTTTCCTGGGGAAATATCTGCGCTTCTCACCATCACTTTGGCTTCATTAAAAAGAGCAGCAGTTTGCTCATTAAATGACACAGTGTGAGGGATTTGAGTGTTTGTTAACTGTCAGAACAGGCCAGGCTTTGTTAGAAGTGCGGTTTCACTTACAAAAACCAGAACATGGTTCTTTTCTCTCAATTGCAATCTTTTTGAGGCTCATTTCATAAGGACAGCAGGAAACACAGCGCTGGGGTCATATTTGAATTCTGAATAACTTAGCTCATTTTGCTTAAATACGGATGGGCCTCCGGGCACTTTGGAATTGCCGCTGTCAAGACATCAGTAAATACCTATTTAAGGATAAACTCATTAGGAACCAACACAGTGAATGAGACTAGAAGGAGTATTTACAGTGGTAAGCAAATCAATGGGCCATTGCTTAATTATATCAAATGCTGAATTGCTCTTTCTGTCTCCAAAAGAAACCTTTGACATGAAACATTCAAATTAGAAAAATACCTGCACAGGATGGCAGTTTGAAAAGAAATCACCTGTAAAGGGAAAAAAAGACAAGCTGGCGTTGCCACGCAGAAGGTGAGTCTTGGGGTCACAGCAGTTATCAACAGGCATAGCCAAAGGAAGGACAGGGCAGGGATACAGGCGGCACCCAATTTCAGGGGCTGATAGCTGACATTTGTCTCTTGGATGAGTTCAACGGGCTCCAGCCTCTGGTAGCCCCAAACCAAGCATGTGACTTGTTATGCCTGAGTCTGGGAGGGCTAGGCAGAAAGCAGGAATGTGTCCATGGCAGAGTCTAGTAATCCACATTCTGTGTGTACCCTCCCCAGAGCACAGGCCCCAGGACATGGGGCCATGACCGAGCCAAGGGTCAGCAGCACTGTCAGCACAGGATGGGTGGGGATGTGGATTTCCATCTAGTCTGCTCCCCCAGCATTTGCAGGGGTTGCCCTCCTTCATACCCAGTGTGGTGCACCCAAGTGACAGCTCACCCACCAAGGGTCCATGTGACATGTTGACCTGCTCAACCTCACAGGCATTGAACCAAAGGGGTGGTCGGGCCATCTGTGGAGGAGGTCATAGCTCATCTGTTTTTATTTTTAGGACTGGAGACTGCACCCAGAACCTCACACATGATGGGCAAGCGCTCTGACGCTGAGCTCCATTCCCATTCCTCATGGGCGTGTTGCTGATCAAAGCGCCACATCCCTCTTTGGGACTGCATTGTGGGTGCAGGACACTAGGAGATGATTCCTGGGTGGGACCTGTCCCTCCACATCTCCCTGGAGAGGCTGAGGAACGAGATGCTTGGTGTGTCCACCATGTCTGTGACTCCTGACCCCCGAACTTCACCCTGTAGCTCTGCCTGTACTTCTCTATGGCCTCTTGGCACTCAGGGTAGCAGAGGAGATATTTTAGGCCAACTTACCTGGCATTCATTTCTTGGAGGCTAAGCTCCAAGTCATTCTTTTGTTGTTTTGAAATAAAGTAAAATATATAAGCCCATCTCTGTTCATTAATGTTGCCTTGGGTTGTGGACTGCTCCTCCAGGAAACTCACCTAATGCGGGTCAGGAAAGTTCTCTTAATATCTTTTGTTACCACCTCCTGCTAATATCTAGGGTGTTCTTTGTCAGGAGCAGCTTCTATTCATGGATTGAGTCTCCTTGGCTAGTCCTCTGCTTCTATTATCTTATTTTTTTCATCTTTTTATTCATTTCCTCTATGATTATAGAAGGTTGCTCAAGTTCATCTTGGGTTTGCCTGATTTGCTTTCCTTCAACAATGAGCCTGACTTCTCTCCTCCTGGTACGGGTTTAATATCTGCCTCCCTCCCTTATGTCTGTAAACTCACTTCTGGGCCATGCTGTCCCTGCACCTTCCCAGTGGGAGAACCAAGCAATGCCTGTGTCTTCATGGGTCTTGCAGAGAATTCTGAGCAGCTTGTCTCTAAGAAGCTCCACTCCACTCCACCGAAAGTGGAGTGTGGCTGTCACAGGCATTTTCTCTGAGGGCACAGACCCAGGGTCTGGGCTCAAGAACCTGGATTCCTTTGGGGCCAGGCAGGTGTTTGCAGTGAGCAGAGCCACTGGGTGGAAAGACAGTCAGGGTGGCCCACCCGACATACCCACAGAGACAGCGTCTAGGTGACATGTCTGGACTTTTCAATGTTAGGCTGACCCAGTAAGGGCCCAGTTCAACATGTCTGAGCTGGTGTTCTGCCTCCTGGCCCCCAGTTTTGGCAAAGGCTTAGCAGAAAAACCTTCTCATATGCTCAGAACTTTCCATGAATTTCCGTGTTGTCCCTGCTGACTCTGGCTAGAGGGAGGATGGTTTTTCCACAGCTCTTGATGGGAGACGAGATATGTGGGCTGGCCCATGCCTCCTGTCTGTCTGCCTGGAAGGAAGGAGTGCAGAGTGGCCATGTTGAGTATGGTACTGCCTAAAAAGTAGTATCGAAGAGGATGAGAATGGACATACAGTATAGAGCCCTTAGCTTGATGCTGAACCAGCTACAGTGCTCCACATGGATTCCATCTTTTATTGTAAAGCATATAGAAAGGTGTCTGGGACAAGGCAAGCTGTTGGTAATGTTGTCATTTCCATAGTTTTTTCTATTGCTTCTCACATTTGAAAGCTGAAGTGCTGGTGCTGCTGTGGGACGCGACCAGCACCGCTCCGGGGCATGGGAGGTCTATATCAATGCTTGCTCCTGCTTCCTGCACTGCTGAGCAGCATCTTTCTAGGATGATGAGGTTGAGGACACACAGAAAACAGAAATGTAGGCTTTTGACCAGCTGTAGCAGTGGGTGCCATGCTTCCTCCAGGCATGTATGCAAATGTTTGCAACACTCTTGCAGAGCTGTCCGTAGTGACTGTATTTACCAGGGAAGAAATTGAACCTTAGGAGAGGTTAAATAAAGATTTGTAACTGGGTTGAGCAAGATGAAGACAGAAAATTCTACAATAAATTTAATAATGTAGAGGTCGTTGGTAACTTCAAAGTGACTGGTTCCAGAAGAATAATAAGGCTGGAAACCAGGTTAAAATGGACTGGATAGAAAATGAAAAACATATAAATGGCAAAAAGTAAAACAAGTAAATAACCTTACTATAGACTATGAAAGTGATTTGCAAGATCTGATAGATGCAGGATTAATCTTACTTATAAGATCTGACAGATATAGAATTAATCTTTACCAATTGTGTTACGTTTCTCTTGTTGCTGAAACAAAATACCTGACATCCAAAGTTGAAGAGGAAAAGGTTGATTTGGCTTACAGTTTGAGGAGCTTTCAGTCCATAGTTGGCTGGCACCAAGGCAGGGATGGCAAACAGGCATCCCAGAAGAGAAACAACATGGGGCACACAAGGTAGGGCAACAAGGGAGTTTATCAGTGTCTTTCTGCTCCTTTTATCTTCGTCAGACTACTGGGTTTGGCTGTGGCAAGCTAATCACTCACGTGTAGTGATTTAGCAATCACACGCCTTTAACCCTAGCATTACACATTCCAGATTCAGCTACCTTCGAAAAAGACTGCATGAGGCCTTGGAGGTCATCTAGACACAAGCCACAAAACCAGTATTTAAAGTTTTTTACAAGTTTAAACACAAAAAATACAATGAAATATAAAAATGGCCAGCAAATATGAACAGGCAAGACACAGAAAAAGAAACCCAAACAATTTGTAAACAACTTTCCTAGAGTCTAAAAATCCCAAGTTAAATCCAGAAATCTGCTTACTCATTGATGATAAAATCTAGTATTACAGAGAATAAAGAAAAAAATATTTTTTCCCTCTTGCTGGGTGTGAGTGAAATACTACAGCCTCTTTGCCATGTGATCCTGGACCAACAGTGTTCTGAGAGGTATCCAATAGGCCCATTCTCTCAGAGATAATACTTAAAGACGGGGGGTAGAACAGTTATTATAGTACCTGAAGATGTGCACACTGGTCCATCCGAAGCGAACATGGAATATTCCTGGTCCTCTTTTTTTGACAAGGATGGAGAATGTGCTTGAAGCGTCAGTAAACTGCAATCAGTGTATAGTACGTGAGATTAAGGTAATCTGCTCCGGTAAAGATGCCTACTCAGGGAATGCAACTGCTACTGGGAAGTTGAATTTGTTGTCCTCTCCTCTCTTCCTCCAGGATTAGTCTGCTTTTGGAGGAGCCAGACAGGTGAGTTAAGGAAGAGACAGAGTGGGAGTCCTGGCCTCACAATCCAGGGTCTTTGAAAGTAGCACTTATTTATAGCAATGTCTTTAGGATGAGATTCTAGTGTCCACTAACCATGTTGCTGGTGCCTGTGTAGGAGTTAGGGGACAGGGGAAGCCATTTCAGAGGTTTTCATTTAGCTTTTTGCACTACAATAGTTCTTACCTGTAAGCCAGGAAACCAATCTTGGAATTGTGCGCTACCTACCAATATAAATTCCAACCACACACCCAGGGCCTGAGGATGTGAACACTGGTGGTTTTTGTGGTCCCAGTGAATCTAGAGTGAGCTAAGCTGGTCCAGGGCTCACTTTATGCCTGGCCCCTAAGAGAATCCCAGGTATCACTAGGGCCCTGTATCCACACGACTGGAGACAGGTCCCTGTAGGGAAGGACTGGGAGGTCGTCATACATATTGCCATGGCATCACAGACTCCATAGTAGCTGGTCATCATGTGTGACTTGTGATTGTACAGGTAGGTATTTCCCTTGTTGGCTGCCTATGTACTTTTTCCTTGAGAGGTCAAGTTCAAATAGATATCTCCAGTCACACTCCTTGGGTGCCCCTCCAACCTCCATCCCATGACCAATTAATCTGCCTGGCTTCTGAGGATTGGATGCCCCTGACTCTGGCTTTCAGTCTGAGATCCTGTTGCTCCCACTGCAGCCATGAGCCCAGTTCTCAGTGGCACTGCCTACCACCAGCATTTGCTTATGGAGAAGAAGCTCCTCTGTACTTCACCATGTCCCTAGTGGCCCTCAGACCAGCCGCTTCTCACAGTTTTGGTGAATCATGTACCTTCTGGGCTACCTTTCTGGGAACACAGTACTCTGGTAGGTTTTCTGGTCTCTCATGCTATCTACCCACTCCCGTGGACCATTTCATACCTTCTTCTACCACCCGCCATAGCCACCTTGACAGGTCACTTTCTGTAGGGAGCACTGTCCTGGGCTTCTTGGAGCCATTGGGTGATTGTCACAGCACTCAATGTCCTCATCAGGGTATTGGACTCTGCATCTGTGGAGAGCCCTCCCCATCAGCTACCTCTTCCCCATCCAACCTCACAGTACATCCCCGACCCCAGACCCTGGACTCTACTTCATTTGTCACTGCTGCTGACTGGGCCCCTCAGTATTTTTAGGGTAGTGACTTTTTCATATTTAGTCTGTTAGTGAGTTTTTAATGGCTTGTTTTTAATCTCCTTTGGGAGAACCCAAAGAAGCTTTTATTCTGGGGCTGCCTTAGCTCCATTTTTCAAGACACAGCCCATCTAGGGTCTTTATTAAATAAATGCTAGTGGAGTTCAACAGCGTCTCTTCTGCTGTTTCCTCAGAAACTGTTCCTGTCCAGCCTCCGAGGGTTCCACCCTATACACAAGCATTTTGATTTTGGCCAGTGACTCAGGGGACTCCTGCAGGCTCTTTGGGGCATATCTCTCTCAAGTGAGAGCTCTGTTGCTCACGTTCTGGCTATGTGTGGTCCCCAGCTCCACCCTCCTGTATCTTCAACTCTGCAGGAATCCCCCTTTCTGCCTGGGCTCACCCTTTGGAAGCCACAGTCCAGAGACTGCCTCCTCCTCCACAGGAAAATCTGGCAACCAGTGGTACGGCCCCTTCCTTCGGGCTCATGGTCCTGTGCTGCCGGTGGTCCAGGGTCATACAGCTGTGGCCATTATTGTGCCTACTTCTCTGGTGTCTACTTTGAAAGGGCAACCCTGGGCCACTGGCTTCCTACGGCCCGCAACAGAAGTCTGGAGGTCTCCTATGTCATACGCTAATCCAGCACTTTAATTACTGCTGTCGGAATGCTATTGCCTTTGCAACATGGATTTTGTATCCTGAAACTTTGCAAATTCTTACATTAATTTTCATGGCTTATCCAAACATTCTCCTGAATATATTATATAAACAATGGCCACGTCTCCAAGTAGGGATGATGTTATCTCTTGCTTTTTGTAAACTTAGTGCTTCTTTTTCTTATTTCTTTAGCTAGTGACTAGAGGCCCTTTTTTTTTTTTTTTCTGGTACTGAGGATCAACTCAGGACCTTGCACTTGTGAGGCAGGCAGTGGGACCACTGAGCTAAATCCCTGGCCCTAGAGGCCATTTCTGGCTAGAGATATCCTGCTCTGCTCTGGACCTGATATCTCTAGAGGCAGACTGATAGAATTAGTATGTGCAGTACATTGTAAAGTTGCTTCTTTTTCCCAATTCCATGAGCATTTCCCAGTCATAAATTGGTGTTGAATTTTGTGCCTGACCTCCCTGCCTCTGTGGAGATTTCCCTTA